GTTCCCTCTCTCGCTGTGTCTCTCTCTGTCAAATAAATGAATAAAATCTTAAAAAAATAAAAAGCCTAACAAAAAAAAAAGTATTCTTTGGAAATGAAATACCATTTCATACCATCATGCATTAAATAAAAGGGGGAGGAAAGAGCCCAAAGATAAATAGCAAGATACAGAAACAAAGTATGCTAAGAATCCCTAATTGTATAACCACAACCAGAAGAACAAGGACCCTAACCTCATCTAATTTAGTTTCCCAATCCAGCCAAACAGAAAAAGAACAGGCACATTTTTTTCCTGAATAATTACTTAACATATAAAAACATGGCATTAAATCACTATGAGAAAAAGAATCTAATCTTGTTTAATGATCTAACATTTTTTAAAATTTGAAATATTTCAGACTTATAAAAAAAAGCCCTACAAATTATACAAAAGAGTTACAGTATACCCTTCACCCAGCTTCCCCAAGTGTTAACATATTACATAACCACAGTAGCATGATGAAAGTCAGGAAATTAACATTGATGCAAGATGTTCAATCTACAGACCTTATTCCCATTTCACCAAATGGCCCACCAACATCCTCTTCCTGGTCCAGAATCCAATCCAGAATTCCATGTTGCATTTAATTGTCATGTCTCCTTCCTCTAATCTGAGACCATTCCTCAGTCTATCTTGTCCTCCCTGCCCCTGACCCTTGAAAAGTACTGATCATGTATCTTGTAGATGATCTCTCAGTTGTCTGATGTTTAGTCATGTTTAAAATCAGGTTATGCATTTTTGGCAAAAATAGCACAGAAGTAATGTTGTGCCTTTTCCGTGTATCAGGAGGTACATGATGTCAATTTCTCATTACTGGTAATGGTAACTTTCACCACTTGGTTTAGGTGGTATAGTCAGGTTTCTCCATTATAAGGTTACTATTTTTCTCTTATGAGGAAATAACTTGAAACTATGCACATATCCTGTTTCTCATCATACCAACTTTAGCATCCATGGATGATTCTTGCCTGCAACAATTATCGCGGTGCTTGCCAAATGAATTTCTATTTTCATCACCCTTGTCCATATACAAATTCATTAAATGCTACTATAAGGAAGAGCGGTCTCTTCTCCCTTATTCAATTATTTATTTACATCAGCATGGGCTTGTAGATATTTACTTCTTTATTCTATAGGTTATAATCCATTACTATCATATTTTCTGCTCAACTTGTCCCTGATTTTGCTGTTGGGAAGGAACTCCAGTTTGGTTCCACTGTCCTATAAATAGAACTTCCCCCTTTCCTCTGCTATCCTTTTTTTTAACATCCTTACTTTCTGGCCCCACAAGATGTTCCAGACTCATCCTGTATTTGCCTCCCCTAGCACTGGTTCCTTTTACTGAAGAATTAATGATATTTAGAAACCAAGATATGGGCGCTAGCTATATTTAATATTACTAGGACAGCACAATATACGCTTCCAACTCTTAGGAATTAGAATAACCTAGTCCAGGTCTTTGCATCAAAAGTCATATGCTCTTAAAAACATGGAGAAAAGCCTGCCATAGCCTTGGAATAAAGGGTTGGGGAAAGCTGCTTATCCAGGAATTTCTTTTTGTAATACTGCATGATCTTGGGTTAAGTCCTGTATGGGAGCAGAGTTAAAAGCAAGGAGGAACAATTCAGAATCCACATAGCTACTATATTTGGCCATGCCTAATGCCACTGTGATCCCATATATACAATATCCACTACCACTATGATCCCATACTACAATATCCATTTTTGGATCTCTTTGAAAATAGGTCCAGATTTCTTCATGAAGGATTATTTTAGAATTAAAAATATAGGAAAAAAACTTCAGTCACTAAATGTGTTCCAGTGGCCATGGAGCAACCAGAGGAATTCTCTGTTCTTGATGATCATCCACTCAAATATAGAACTGAGCAGGAAAGCACTCTTGTCCTTCTACTCTAATACATCTCAGAGACCCTGCCCTTTCCTGATGAGCAAAAACCAACAAAACTTTGCAAGAATGGCACTAACTATATTGTAGAAAATATTAAAATAGTACTCTTTGGTTGTTTAAAAAATGTTTTATTGAGGTATAATCTACACACACAAAAAAACTTGTCTACTTTAAGTGTACAATTTGATGGGAACAGACAAATATATATGGTCCCGTAACCACCACCAGTCATAACAGAGTATTTCCATCCCAGCTTTACAGGCAGTCACCTTCCTTGGTCCCAGCCCCTGGCAAATACTCACTTGCTTTCTGTCCTAGTTTTGCTTCCTCTAGAATTCCATATAAACAGAATTATATAGTATATGCTCTTTTGTGTCTGGCTTCTTTTACTTAGCATTAATGCTATTGAGATTTTTCTATATTGTTGTATGTATCTGTAGTTTGTTATTGACGTGTAATGTCTCACTGTATAGATGTACCACAACTGTATTCATTTACCAATTAATACATATCTAGGTTGCTTCCAGTTTGGAGCAATCATGAATAAAATTCTATAAATATTCAAGTTTTTGTGTGAACACAGGTTTTCATTCTCTTGGATAATATGAGTGGGAGTGCTATAAAGCATAAACCTAGTGAGTTTATGCTTTAAAGGAAACCTGTTTTCCAGTGTGGCTGCACCATTTTGCATTCCCACCAGCAAGAAATGAAAGTGCTAACTTCTCCACACTCTCACCAACACTAGCCATTATCAGTCTTTTTAAGCTGGTGTAGTGAGTATAACAGTATATTTCAAAATGGTTTTAATTTACCTTTCCCTAATGACTAATGATGCTGAGCATCCTTTCATGTGTTTACTCAACATTTATAGGTCTTCTCTGGTGAAGGGTCTATTCAAACCTTTTGCCACTTTCAGTTGATTGTCTTCTTATATTTGAATTATGAATGTTATTTATATATTCTAGATGCAAGTCATACATCAGATAGGTGTTTTGCAAATATTTTCTGCCAGTCTATGGCTTGCCTTTTCATTTTCTTAGTATCTTCATGATCAAAGGTTTCCACTTTTGATGAAGTCTAACATTTTTCTTTTATAGTTTGTGCTTTCTGTGTCCTAAGAAATCTTTGCCCAACCCAAGGTCACAAAGATTTTGTTTTTGTCTAGAAGTTTTATATTTAAGTCTATAATCCATTTGAGTTAACTTGTAGATGGCAAGAGTAGAAGTTCATAGGCAGGAATGAAAAGGCATAGAGATAGGTCTCAACATCGATCCAGGACAGAGAGAGACCGTGAGAGAGGGAACACAAGCAGGGGGCGTGGGAAAGGGAGAAGCAGGCTTCCCGCTGAGCAGAGAGCCCGATGTGGGGCTCGATCCCAGGACCCTGGGATCATGACCTGAGCCGAAGGCAGACGCTTAACGACTGAGCCACCCAGGCGCCCCGCCTAATGACTTTTTGACTGAAAGGGCAGACAGGCAGGCACATCTTGCTTTTAAAACAAAAATACGTTCCACAAATATATTTACTTCTGCTTTAACAGAGCCCTAGGGTTTTGTGTAGAATAAATGCTACAATCAAAATTGCAAGTATTAAAAGGGAAATTAAATTCCTGCACTTAAAATTTGATTTATCAGCCTCCAAAAAAAAAAATTCATGTGTGGATTTCATCAGGTACATTTAAGAATATGGACAATTTATCTCTCTAGTCTAAACTAGCCACCAACAAAGATACCCTGTGCTATTTATTGTTCCTTTCCATTTTTAACCTCAACTGTAATAACACAGGACAGCTACTTTGAATTTATGCATCATACTCTATATTATTAAAAATCAGTTTTCAGTAAAACCACCCCAATAAACAAGAGTAACACCAAATCTCATACCATAAATTTAATGTGCCACTTTCTGCATGAGAAAAATCATTTCAAGTTATTTTCACTAGTAACTTCAAAAATTTATAGTAATCGTAGAAATTGAGAACTTCCCTCCCCAGTGTTTCTTAAATCTGAGAGCTTGCAGACCTCTATAAAAAGTCATCTGTGGACCCCTCAGCATGAAAAACAATCACAAGGCATGTAGGTGATCACTTGGTGCCAACAGCCTGGGAACACAAAATGCAAATTCAAATACTGAGATCATGCAGCATGGTTTAGTTACAAGGTCAAAGGATCCAGTTTTTTTTAGATTACTATAAAAATACAGATTAAAAAAAAAAAAAACTTTCTTAGAGATCTCATAGCTCCTGCTCAAGATTTTCTCTCTAGACTCCCATTTGAGGAACACTGTCCTAATACTTAGTTACAATGCATCTTCAGTCCAATGCGTACATAAGTGTGAAATATAATTTTGAACTCTTCTCACTGAAAAATGGAAACACTTTAAAAAGTTTTTATTCAAAAACTTCCATCACATAAGCATAGTCCCCATGGTGTGTCTATGAAACACAGTCTAACGCTCTAGACCATGCCAAATAGCAGTCAACTTTAAAGTTCAATTCCTCAAATCCTTCAATAACAAAAGACCCATCTCTGTTCAGAACTCTGCATTTCAGTGTTTAATTCCACTCTGAGCACCTTTAAAACGTGAGCATTCCTACTGTTCGTCATTCATGTTTATAAAGGTATCCTATCTTTTGCAAGGACTCTACCTGGTATTTTGGTGTT